GAAAATATCCAGCTTTTACCCAGCCACAACAATATGCTAGGCTTTTTTGGCAGTAAGCCAGCTGCTGACTAAGCAAGGAGACTTAATAGGCTAAATCCTTTAAAACTGGAAAAGAAAAGTTAGGTTTGTTACATTCAGCTGTTTGAAGAGAGTCCACAGGTCAGAGGAGGTGACTGATCTTGCAGAGAAGATGCCGCACTTAGCTTCACAAAATCTGGGATCAGATCTAGAGAGTATTGGCCACGTTYGATACGGCTACAGGGAAGTGAGACAGTAATGCTGTCTGTGCCACGGCCTCCTGGATCTGGGAAATGGGCACGATAATATTTGAGGGTTTGACCCTTCGCTTATTCATTCAGCTTCAAATTYGTTATGTACTGGCTTCATTTTAGTGCTATGGGACTTTACACCAGTGTGTCCTGCTTTTGGCTGGCTTACATGATGTAATTGCAAACCAGCTCTCCCATGCTCTTCCATCTCAYAAAATACATTGATGCACTTATCACCAGGACCAGCCCTCTGATCTGCGACAGCGAAGGGCTAGCAAACGCTCTTGCTCAAACTCAGAAAAATGAATAAGATAAGCAGAAGACATAAACCAAGAAAACAGTCTCTTCCCCTTTCAGGAAACAACAAGGAACGACCACGGTGCACATAAAACGTTTTARATATAGCCATTGGTACCTACTTTCTGAGCACCTTCTGCATCRCTGGTGCCACTTGCTGTGCCCAGAGGTGCGCCCAAATCTCCACTGCTGCGTCCTCTTTGGTCTGAGGCACTCAACATGCAAGGCTGTTTTTCATGGGCTTAAATCCCACTTCCCCCGTCTTAAACCACGGGCAAAGCACAGCTGACCCGTCTAACACAAATTTCCCAACAGGGTTGGTACCTAGGGTAGTGAGCTTTCTGGGCTCAGCTTGCATTTAAGATTTTTTTTTTTTCATTTCAAATCAAATATATTCCCCAAATTGAAAGACTTGTCCTGTTATTCCAGTATCTTACTAGGTAGGACTGGCTTGTTATTTTCCAGGAAGTCTTTGCCAGGTCTCACAGTAGGAAACGGAGTATTATTTTCTTGGGCTTTTTTATTCTACAGATCATAACTCACTGCCAATGGCATCAGCTGCACTAGCACTGCACCCGTGGGGATGTCCACAAGAAGATCATTTCTCTCCACCATTTTTTCCTGAGAAAGGAGGACACAATATTGCTCTAAAGCTACTGACACATGTGAGGGAAAACTCGCATGAGCCTAATTTGCTATTGCCAGGGAAGACAGCATTGCTCTTGTACAGTGTCTTTCATCTTCAAAGTGCTTTGCAAACACAAACTAATTAAGCTTAATATTCTGTTATGGAACACAGTACGCTATATCATTAAAAATACACAAAGTATGAGGGGCTGGCTAAAGCATGACACACAAAAGGCTCCAATATGTTTTTGCAGGCCTGATTGATAACCTGCCTAACTTTTTTTAAGCAAAGATCTTTGAGGTACTGATTAATAAACATTGTATTTTTATTAAAATACAAGTTCAGAAACATTTTATCAAGCCAGTCAGACCTCCTAAAGCGTGTGGCTCTCACAGATGTCTAGAAAACACAATATTTTTAGTCTCTCACAAGCACAAAACTCTGCAGCTGTGACTTTTCAAAAAACAAGACAAAAAAAAAAAAAAAAAAGCTTGCCTATATACCTCTAAAAATATCTGCACAGGCCAAACCTGCAAGCACTTATGTAGATGAGTAACTTTGCTGCCTGTGGAGCTACAGTGCGAGTTTGCAGGATGAAGCCTAAATGCATCTTTGGTAAACAAGCCATCAATTACGCACTTTAAGGACGGCAGCACCTGTGCAAAGCCTTCAGCGCAAGCTACAGACACTAAGGAAATAAAAAGCAATTATCAGCTACTCATTGAGTAAAACTGTTTGCTTCTTAGAGCTGARAACAAAATTTCCAGTGGCACAGGTTCTGTTTTGGGGATCTTCATTAGACCATCGTACAGTACATGTTCAAGCTCTCTTAAAAACAAAAGATTCATATAGGTTGCTATTTTTTACATTCTTTTGTTGATTATACACATTTCATTGTATATATTTTTAGAGGAAAGATAAGTACTGCTCAGTGGGTCCAAAAATACAAAATTAATTAAAGTCATCTTACAGTAACTTTCAACTATTCCTAAATGCATTTAATTTCTTATTAGAGGATTATCTTGCAACAAGAGTTTGAATATGAAATTCATACCAGCCATAGGGCATATCTACTACGCAATTCTAGGATAAATGGTTGGTTTGCATTGCCCCTGGTCTTTATCTAACACTGAGAATAGGCTGCTTTTTATCAAAAGAGGAATAAATTGCTGTTATTGTGATGTTAGCCCATCACTTGGCATTGCAATTCAAGTTTTTGTGAGAAAGAAATGTATGATCTAACTGCGACTTGACCTATGCCTTCTGAGATCCATCTAGGTGCTCTAATGGAGCATAAAAAGTATTGAATACAAGGACATGCAAACCGGTAGTGAAGAATTTTGTTTGAGAAGAAGAGTGAGCAGAAAGAGACTTTCACAAGCCTGTGGTTTACATGCTGCCCAATTTGTTAAATGCGGAAGAAAGCTTATTGCCAAAATGTAATTATTTTAATTAATGTATTTCAATACGAAGCTCTATGCTTMCAGGCATTTAGGACTTCCATCACTCACTCATGTCCTCTGTCTGTCTCTCCATCCATCTCTCCCATTTTTCATCATTTTCAAAGTGTTCTGGTTAAAGAGATTCTTTAATGATCCAAGTTGTTTTCCTAAAAAGTCATTAAATTGCTCTGTTAAACTGTTCAGAAAAAAAAAAAAAAGAAATTTTCCTGTTTCTTTGTAGGATTTTTGCCTTTCCCAATAGAGGAAATGTCATGTTAAATGTTTATAAAACACTTGGGACACAGTATATCACAATATAAACTAGTCCAAGTGAGGTAATTTGATTAAGCTCCAAAATCCTTCAGCTGCTATAGTGTTTCTCAGGTTGTTTCAGAAAAGGATGTATTTTTTTAAAGCAATTTCTGGGACAGTAGCATTTAGATTTTAGTCCTGATAAAGGCTCACTTTCCATTCATAGGCAGAACCTAAATGTGCTCTTCTTGTACCTAAACAGATAATAAGCACTCAGCACACTCCCCCTTCTTGACACAACACACTGAGACTAATCACACATAATTGGAGAGGAGGAGCAGAGGGGCTGGGCAGGCTATTGTGTCCAAAGGACAAATGGTCAGTTTATGAGGCTTTTGTCTGACGCATAATTTCTTATACATCTACAGAAGAAAAGTCCTGCTTGGAGAGGAAAAAAAAAAAAAAAAAGAAAAGAAAAAAAGAAAGAAAGATATACACACACACACACATACTTATATATATGACAAAACCCCTCAACACTGAAGCAAATTTGGACATTTCAATTCTGAACGGATAGAACAATCAACAGCGGAATTTCAAGAAAGACAGAAAAATCCTAGGCTGCAATACATGCCCTCTTTAAAGATTTTAAGAAAAGTATTGCCTTCCTGATTAAAGGAAAATGCAACTCCTCTACAGACAACTATATACTACCACAAAACACATTATTCATGTATTTTCAAACAGAACCCCAAAATAACATTTGAAGAGATTAGCAAAAGTGCATGCAAGTTTAAAGGCACAAGAGAGATGGAAGATTTACACCTTTGTTAATGTTTACAATGAAGTCCCATTGATTTTAGGCAGGAATACAATTGGAAAAATAAGTTGTAAAATAATACCAGATAGATGCCTCAACGTTTATACACAGTGATATATGAAAAAAAAMCACAATATCTTTTTCAGTGCTTCGATTAGAAATATTTCTGCAATGATCACTCAGGAACAATAGGTGAGAAAGCAGAATCCCTCTCATCTCCCAACCATTCCTGTACATGATTTTTTTTTCAGCAGTCCATCTTAAGACAAACAAATCTTCTATCTGTGTTTGGTTAAAACAAGAAGAAAAGGATAATGAAGGTTTTCCTCATATGTATCTTTTTCTTCATTTTTCAACTGCAAATAAAAAAATGAATAAAGTAAGCAAATTATATGAATGCATTTTTTAAATACCTGACAGTTCTTGGCTAGCTGTATTCCTTAGTGAAAATGATACTACTACATATTAAACATTTAAGAACTACAAGAAGAAATCTTAATGTTAAGTACTGTCACAGATATGGAACCGTATGTCCAATATCATCAGGACTTGGTGAGAGCTTTTGGGCAAAGTAATACACACAGCAAACAGTTGCACATTACCGATCAAAAATGTTGTGTGATGTCCTCCCAAATTGCTGAATTAAAGAAATTAATTATATGCAGGTAAGATTTTAACTCTGAATTATATCCAGGATGCTAGGAAGCTCAGAACAAAGGCTGAAGTTTATCTCCTACCAGTAGAACTATTGTAGTATTTTTAGGCTTCAAGATCAACTGTTTTAGGCTTCTGAAATACCTTATTAGAACCTGAAAGTTTACATAAATACAAGCCACTTGCAGTGCTGTAATGCAGTTCCTGATAGCTTTATTAATTATGTTTAATTAAAAATATCTTTCTTCAAGACAGAATTATAAGCTCATAATTCAAGTGGTACTATTCAAATTGAATTCAATATTCAAAATTCAATTGGAAAATCTGTTTTCTGTGCCTTTCTGATCTCTCTCTTTTTTTTTTTTAAGCTGAATGTTTAGGTATCTATTCTGGCAAAATGCAATTTAAAATATGCATACATATTGAATTGAAACATGAAGAGATTAGTCATAAATATTACATCTTGCAATCACCTCAAATAAAAATGTTTATGTACTGTCAATAGAAACCTAAGGAGGAAATGTGAAATAAATGACCCTTTGGCAATGACTGACACAAATGAACTCCCCTCCTGAGAAATACCAAATTTAAAGTCAGAATTCTTCATGCCCCTATATTGTTATGTCTCTGTGTCCTTG